CGGGAGCGCGAACTGCCCGGGGGAGCCGCGGGGCCCGGCCGTCCGCGGCCTGTCCGCCGTGGCTGCGCAGAAGCTGCCGGTTGCCTCTGCTGCGGGGCCCAGGTGGACTGGAGCAGCGCGTCGTATTGTGCAGTGCCAGTTTGATAACAGATAACCGTAACCCTGGGACGGTAGCTGCTCCCTTCAAGGCACTTCACCCGAGTAATATTTTCTAGCATAAAGCAATCAACAGTAGTTAGCGGTTCATCAAAAGGAAGCTGGATAGGCTGCGAGCTAGTAAGAGAAGTGGCTGGTTTCCCCATTACTAGCTTTTCCTTTTTGCCACGTGCAGAATGCATTGGAGGTATTAGTATCTCAAACACCTTCTGGATGAAAAGATTTCAGTAAGCCTTATTGCTTTCTGACAGAAATAAGGACACTTGTGAGAGATGGAGACAATTTGGGAGATCAGATAGGAAAGCCTATTGATACTTCTTACTAATATGTGGTATAATGATGGTAGAGACCTCCCAGCTTTTTTTATTAACAGTAATCTGCAATGAAGTATTAGTAAAATTAATTCACTCTCAATTCATATTGCTAAAATACATTTGCATTTCAATTGCTTCTTAGAAGTAATTCGCTAGCAGTATCCTAACTTGAGAGCTAGTGAAAATTGTTTAAACTACAGATACGTATATATGTTCAAATTGTTGCATACCCTATAGATAAAAGGCATTTTAGCCCTTCCCAACAATGTCTTCTGCCAGTAACAATCCTGTCCGTTTCAGGACTTATGTATCCACAATGATAACTGTGACTGAAGTGTGGGTCTTCAGCTAGCAACTCAGGTATGAGACAATAGCACCTGTGTAAACTTGTCTGGCAGTGGAAAGCTGTTTTTTTGATTAATGAAGGAAAAAATCTGGGATATGAGACCTTAGTCTGAGACACCAACAAGAAACTTGCAGTTACAGAGTATTCTGCCTTACAAGCTTGAGGCTCGCAACTTACCGGGTCTGATGTCCAGTGCTGGAAATGCAGTATAAGACTTCTTCATGGACGTGCACAGACCTAAACAGCTGTAGAAATCAATGCTGTTCTCCTTCAAGCCTCCAAGTAAAAGTCAACTCAGCTCTGGTTTTGTTGTTTCAGGCAAATGTAACTGAGTATATTGTATAACACTTTCTATGTCACCTTTTTCACACTGCCCCGTACCTTGTTCTGTCTAATTCTTGCTCTCATTTTGATCGTTTCAGAAATAACATTGACCAAGAACGGGAACAAGATGGTATCTGTACTCCAAACTGTCAAGGCAAAGATGGCCTGGCGGAAACACCAGCTCCTACCTGACTTCGATGAGAATGAGAGCCCTGTACCTGACAAATTCAAGAGAAGGGCTTCTTTGAGTTCTCTCAATACCATCCGCATGTCTCTAAGGAAGCGAGTACCATTAAAGAACGTAGATCTGAATTTTCATAAGACCCCAACTTGGGAAAGTCTGGAAGCAAGACAGAAGTGCCAAACTCTTCAGAGTATTAAAAGAACAGCAAAAAATGCTTTTGGAACAGTATCCCAGGTACCTTGCAGTGGAGTGTGGATAGAGTTTAGTTTTTGCTTCAACTTCAGTGAAGCTTAGGCTTTCTGGACTCTGTACAGAATGCTGTATTCCAGAGCGTGTATCCCACACACTTGCACACTGTAATGTTGTCTCATAGATACTAACTAGTAAAATCTTTAATATTCTTTCTAAAGTATAGACAGGCAAATTATGGATCTGGCAGAATAGGGAGGAAGGTGAAAAGAAGAAATATGAGATGTAGTTACATCAAAACTTTCATTTTATTACTAAGTAAATGCTTTTCCCCTACTGTATGTCATGATATATGGCAGAGCAGCCTTCACAAGGAGGAAGGTGAGTAGAGACTGCCATTCCTTGCAAAGAATTGTTTCTGAGAAATGTGCAGCTCTTTGGATCTTCAGATCCAAAGCGTTTAAAGTTTTTAACTCCTTTTCCTGTACCCATACTATTTATTAGCTCATTCTTCATTATGGTCAATCTAAATTTGGACTGACAAAAACTGCTAGATTGTAGCATGGTAGCAAACTCGAGCTTGCACTTCCCTTCGGTGGAGACCTGATTTTTAACCACATCATTTATATGTTAGGGAGCCTGGCTCTTTCCTGCATAAGAGCAGCAGGAGCTTTGTTCCAATGCCTGCTGAAGTCCTTGACGAGTTCCAAGGACTGGGGAAGCACATGACTCCAATGCAGATGGGTACAGACAGTGGAGAAGCACACATGCTAGACTAAAACTGATATGAGAAAGAAAGCTAGGGATTCAGCTCAAATTTTGTTGTCTTTCTGGTTCCAAACTGTAGACTGAGTTTGTTTAGCATAACTTGTCTGTTTAATGCTTTTTTCAGAAAATACAGAAGTCTTGCCAAAGCCCAGTTTGCTCAATGGTGACCTTTCCAGCTGAATCCATCAGCAGAAACTATGCAACCAGTTCTACCAAGACAAGAAGTACTACACCTCGAACCCCTTGCCATAAAAAGAGTGTTGCTCCAGCAGCCAGTTCCAAAGGGACCCCAAGATCTAGCAGAAGAGCCTTGCTTGGGCCAACAAGGGTGTCAGAACATAAAGAATGGAGGGGTTTCTCATCCTGGCTTGGTAAAGGTGCTGTCTCTCTCCGGAGATCACGAAGAGCAGCAGCACTGAAGAGCCCGTATTCATCACCTGCTTCTGCCAGCAGAAAGATGTAAGCCACATTCTTCTGTAAACCTTATTCCTTTTTTATTATTGCTGTGATTAGAATATCTTGCAAGGTGAAAGGCAAGATACGAAGGTGCCATCCCACTCCCCTGAAAGGGTGTGCTGTTCGAATAGTTAAGAAAGTAGTTACAGGTCCCTGTACAGATAGGGACTGAGTAGTGCATAAAGCTGAAACATGCAACTTAATTTTGTGCTGTGACAAGAACTTTTTAAAAATCACTCTCCCATGGGGTAAGTTTACACCATATCTCTGATGGGGACTGGTGCTGAGAAACTAGAGACATACCCGAGTTCTTTGCTGATGCCTTTCTGGTAAAGAAAAATGCTCTCAATGCATCTTACTCCTGCTTAGTGCTGTTTCCCAAAGTTGCTATTTGTATTGCAAAGATAACCTAGAATAGCTCCGCTTATGCTGAGCTCTTTATAGAGAGGAGAGAGAGTCTTGCCTCAAAGACTTAACACAAATCAGATAAAGGGATGTGAGCTAGGGAAATACTTCATAATGCACACATAGGTTTTTGTTTTGGTCAAAGTCATATGAAAAATGTCAAACTAGAAGCTGAATCCAAGCCTTGTGAATCCGAACCCACTGTTTGAATTGGAAGATAGCTGTCTTACATGAATGGAGATTTGAAGCAGTTGGTGAGTGGACTTAAGAGCATGACTGCTACAGCCCTAAACTTCTCTGGGTGAAGTCTGGAGGTAACTAGAGTTGTTACTGCAGGGACAGAGGTTTGGGTAGTGTCACCTAGTCAGTCTGTCCTGTTTGATCTTTAGTAACAACCATTCTGTTTGCAGAGTTTGACTGTGAGTTGCAGCTGGTCTCCTCAGGGATTTGCCAATTGAAGCATATCTCCCAGGCATTTGATGATGCTGTTGTGCAAGAGTAGACCTAAATGCCGCTAACTGTCCCTCAACTTTTAGCAACAGGCTACCTCCCACTTGGACATTGCCAACTGCAGGCTAAGTGATCCCTGTAAATCAGGATGAGGAATAGTTGCAGAACTTTCCCAGATGTGATGTAGCAGCGCCTGTCTTTCTTCAAGATACCTGTGCAGATTACATCTGTAGCTGGACCTGCAGCTTCTACAACCTGTCAGATGTTCTCTGGGTTTATTGCTGTGGAAGTCAGATTTTTCCCAGCAAGAGCCTACCTTTGACCTTGTGTGAGAACAGTACCTCCCTGCCTCTGTTTAAAAGACAAGCCAATTGAGGCGGGGGATGGGGAGGCGGGAACCCCATTGCACTGACTCTGTCATTGGTGCCTGCAAATTTATATGAAAATCCTTTTATTAGGTAGCATTATGTTAACAAATAGTGCATAGTACCCATAACTCAAAGGTTTAGAGGATGCAGAAGCCTCTTATACAACACCTTGGTTAATCCATGAGGTGGTAGGCTGCTGTGTTTGTGAAGCTTATGTCATTCTGAATTAGATGTATTAAAACAGTAAAAACTAAGGGTCAGAAGTCTTGTCACAGGGCAATTCCCTAAACCTCTTCCTCTCTTAAAACACTTGATATCAAGTATTCAATAATTAAATGTCAAGCACCTAAAATCCTCTACAGAGAGCTTAGCATTAAGTGCTTTTATCTGCAAAGATGTAAGGGCTTAAAATCCTACATTGTTCCAAAAATTCAATTTTTGCCAATGAGACCATTTCTAGATAACTATAGGTTAAATCTTGTATTAAGTTAATGACCACATCCATTGAAAGTTCACTAAATCTCACTCCTAATGTTCTCCCATCTGTTAGTGATATGACAGTTTCTCTCATTCGTAACTGAAGATAGTATCAACCAGGTAAAGTAGTTGTTCACTTACCTTGTTTATACCTGCATGCGTCTGTAGGGAGAAAACCTGCTGTTTGGAGACAGAAAGGCTTGTTAACTCATGCTTCCTTAAAGTATTATTATGCAGAACCATGGGGTTCTTCCCTCATATTCACTGAGGCTGTCTCTGCTACAGCAGATCCTTGTGCAGTTATAAAACTTCACCTCTACATTGTGGATTAGTGAAACCTTGTGGGTTTGGAATGAACTGCAAGTTGGACTTCTATGCAAACAGCAGCTTTTCTCACCCTGGACCAGAAAACTACTGGTACTAATGTCGTTGTCACTCAACCTCAGTTCTCACTGATTACTAATGAAGATCACAAAGCATGACAGAACAAACTATTACCCTGAGCTGTCTAATTTTACAGCCTTTCTTTTTCATCCCTACCATTGTCTTAGCAGTTAAGACTATGCTATCACAATAACAGCAGTGGATACCTGTATTGCTGGCATTTTTAAAGACAGCTATTATACCTAAATGGATGGGAACAGGAATTCTTTACTGTAAGTTTCTAAACATCACTTCTAATGTCAATTCATTGAACCACTACCAGGTAAATGCCTCTATTATCTTCACTGAGATCTGTATTGTGACATTAATATCTTCACCCATTATGTTGGAAATGTTCTTTTTGTTAAAGGGGAAGTTACAACCTGAATACTATGTCCTATTTTAGCAATAAAGATAGGTGTAAGACGTTTATTGCTGTAACTTTTCAGGTAAAAACAAGAGCAGTTTTAAATGCTTGACTGAAGCTTTAAACAGTGATGTTGAACTGCTTCCACTAAGCAGTTTGGTCCAGTTCTCCTGCATGTGTAGATGCATACAATGTTTTCTGTCACTGGCTGGTTTGTAGGTTACCTACTGGAATAATTGTGATATAAACCTTTTTTTGGAGGTGCCCTTACAGTCTTGCATATGATTTTCTGCTCTAGTATCCAATTGCTGTGAGTTTTAGTGTTACAGCTCCCTTTTAATCTTTTCCATGATGAAACAAACCTTGATCTCAAGCTCTTTGTAACTGCCAGCTCCATGTATTGTTCTAATGTTTTTCATTTTAATGAATTAGATTACATCACAAGAAATGCTTCTGTTGCTAGTTAGTCTTGCAGTACCTAATTGATGTACTGCCACTTATGCTCACTGAAGGTAACAAAATATTTTCTTGCTAGTGTTTAGAACTATTAATACAGTGGAAGTGTACAGGTGACAGACCTCTTCCTTGCTCCCATCTAACAGTTTTCCAGCAATTTGCGTGACAACCAGTTAATTAACCTACTGACTTCATGCTGCTAATGGCAATCTTGTTGTTTTTCTGCAGGCAACACACAGTATCAAACTACTACTATCTAATGGCACAAAACTTACAGGCTGCATGTCGATCTCGGAAACTTTCTCAAGCTATTGGAAGGCAAGCGAAGAAACTCCATCGAGCACTTGGTACCTAGA